ATTAAAAAAATCATTAATTAACCTAGTTCTAGCCTGGTGAGATAGATAGCCCTTATTCTTCAAAACTTAGCTCCAATGGTGTGAATTAATGGACTAAGCCCAGAAACGTGTCTCCAAAGCCCAATTAATATTGGCAAAACCCATTATTATAAAACTCAATCCACAAACCACGTCACCAAAAATCAATCGAATCCCAATTCCATGGCTCTTACCCGCCTCCTCCTTGGCTCCCTCTCCCTTCTCTTCCTCCACCATCTCCTCCTCTTCAGCACATTCCGGCCTGTTTCCGGTGTCGACATTAACTATGGAACTCTCGGAAACAATCTTCCTTCACCCAAGAAAGTAGCTCAGCTCCTCCAATCCACTCTACTTGATAAGGTCAAAATCTACGACACCAATCCCCGGAAATCCTCGAAGCTTTCTCCAACACCGCCATTGATCTTACAGTAGCCGTAGAAAACCGCCATGTTGCCAACATCAGCACCGACGTTTCTGCCGCTGACGAATGGCTTGCCAGCCGTGTCGTCCCCTTCATTCCCGCCACCTCCATTGTAGCTATCCGTGTCGGAAACGAGTACTTGGCAACGAATTCCGGTGACGGCCATTTGGACCCCGACGCACTGCTCCATGCAATGCAGAACCTCCATTCGGTGCTTGTAACTCGTGGGCTCGGCCGAGAAATTAAGGTCACCACGCCGCACAGCATGGCGGTTATCGCCTCCTCCTTTCCACCGTCAGCTTCCACCTTTGCCCCAACTTTCGTCGAACCCATGAGCTCCATAATTGGGCTTTTGGCCAACACCGGCGCGCCGTTCATGATTAATGCTTACCCATACTTCGCCTACAGGGAAAACCCCAGTGCCGTCGATTTAGAATATGCTTTCCTCGGAAATGCTACCGGCGTCCATGACCCAAAAGGGTACATCTACAACAACATGCTGGATGCTCAAATTGACGCAATTAGATTGGCAATAAACGCTCTGGGGTTCGGTAATCAGACGATCGAGATCACAGTTTCCGAGTTTGGGTGGCCGTCAAAAGGGGCGCCTGGTGACGCTGCCGCCACGCCGGACAATGCAAAGAAATATAAAACTCGGTTGATCGAACGAGCACAGTCCAACAAAGGGACAAATTAAGCTTTCTAAGGTCTATCCTTTTTCTTCTTGGTTTCTCTTTTTCCCTTAAGTTTGCTGGGATATTCATTTCTGATTTTGTTTTGCAGAGACTGGAAGTGGCTAAGTTTTCTGGTCTCCGTTCCAGCTCTTGCGTGACATATACTACAAATGCTAGAGGAACTTCTTTTTTTGAGGTGGTCAGCTTACTCCTAAGGTTGATTGCCTCCTTCAGTCTTTTAATCTTTTCTGAATTTTCTTTCTTGTTTTATGTTTGTGCACAGAGATTAGACCAGTCATAATAATATCTTTCTAAAAATGTTCAGTGCTTTCTTGCAATAGTCGTCACAATTAAGCTGTTCTGGAGTTCTGAGTCCATATAAACACTTTGTTTTGTTCTTCTAATAATCTCATCTTAAAAAAAAATAAAAAATAAAAAATAAAATAAAATAGTAAACTATTGATCAGGTCTTCCAACCTTTGGATTAGGCTGCATGAAAGAAACTTTCCCTGCCTACAACTTTTCATAAATTTAGTGATGTCTTCTATGAAAGAAAAGGCGCACCATCCTTGTGGATAATCAGCTATCTAGTAAAAATGTACAAAAAATCTTCTAAGTGGTTCAACATGAACATTATGTTCCTAAAATATAGTTTGTTGTGAGGCACCATTGTGTGGTTCTGACTTCTAATGGCCTTGAATGCATTTCCAAATTTAGACAGTAGCATCAACTCCCATCAGGAGAGAAACTGTTGCCAAATTGAAGGTTGCAATCAATGGATTTGGATGCATTGGCAGGCACTTCCTTCGGTGCTGGCATGGCCGGAAAGACTCACCCCTTGATGTGGTTGTTGTCAATGACAACAGTGGTGTCAATAACGCAAGTAACTTACAGTTTCCCTGACTATCGTTAACATTAACATGTGATATTAATTGGTTACATACATCAACTTATGGTGTGCTATATAAACACAGGCTTCACATTTGTTGAAATACAATTCAATGCTTGAACTTTCAAAACAGAAGTCAAAATTGTGGATGATACTCATACCACCATTAGTGTTGATGGCAAGCCAATCAAGGTTGTCTCTAATAGGGACCCTCTCGAGCTTCCATGAGCTGATCTTGGCATTGATATTGTCATTGAGGTGGTTCCTTGCACTTTCTTCTCATCTATTGGAGTTCCCTAAACCGTAATTTTTTTCATTAGCAAAAACACTGTGGGTTACAGTTTCATAGTAGCAATCTTTTCAAGAACTCTACTGGATTACTGAACTATGCAAAGGGATCGAAAATTAATTAAAGACAAAATTTTAGGAGTCTTTTTTGGTGACTGGTTAAGTTCATATGCATTCTTCAGGGAACAGGAGTTTTTGTGGGTGGCCCTGGAGCGAGGAAGCATATTCAAGCCGGTGCCAAGAAAGTTATCATCACTACTCCAGCAAAAGGTGCAGATATTCCAACTTATGTTGTTGGAGTCAACGAAGGTGATTACTCTCACGAGGTCTGAAACATCATAAGGTTAGTATCTCCAAAGCAATGATTGCTCATAAAGCAGTTTGAAAATTTTTTTCTAGTTCTTGATGCTGTAATTTATAAGTGGATCAATTTTGGTAATTGCAGTAATACCTCTTGCACCAAAAATTGTTTGGCTCCTTTTGTAAAAGTCATGGATGAAGGATTTTGTAGGCACTTGTTCGCATTCACTCCGATGTAAATTCATTTGGTTCAGGCGAATTTCATATAACCACAGTTATGGATTTTCTTTGACTTCATTGAAAGTTTGAAACTGATATGTAGGAATTGTCACGGGAACAATGACAACCACCCATTCATACAATTGAGACCAGGTACTTGCACTCACCAAAAAACTACTGGGATGTAGAGCGTAAGCTAATTCAAAGAATTTTGAATTCCAACAGCATAAGTTCGAGATTTATTTGAACAAAGAACGCTAAATTGCTACTCGTGATCATGCAGAGACTCTTGGACGCTTCACACTTCGACTTGAGGAGAGCTAGGGCTGCAGTATTGAACATAGTCCCAACAAGTACCAGTGCAGCCAAGGCTGTCTCTCTTGTGCTACCCCAGCTGAAGGCAAGCTCAATGGTATTGCACTCCGTGTACCAACACCAAATGTTTCAGTTGTTGACCTTGTGAATGTTGAGAAGGGGGGAATTATAGCCAAGGATGTCAATGCTGCCTTTAGAAAGGCAGCTGAGGGGCCATTGAAAGGCATATTGGCCATTTGTGATGTTCCTCTTGTTTTAGTGGACTTCCAGTGCAGCAATATTTCTTCTACCATCGACTCTTCACTATAGTAATGGAAGACGACATGGTTAAGGTGGTGGCCTGGTATGATAATGAATGGGGATACAGGTCAGGATACATTACTTAAAACTTTCTTGTTTCTAACTATGATCGTATTTGTGCCTTACCAGTTACGGTAATATCATGGATATTTGCAGCCAGAGGGTCGATGATTTGGCACATCTTGTAGCAAGCAAGTGGCCCGGCATGCTTGCTGCAGTTAGTGGTGATCCCTTGGAGGATTTTTGCAAGACAAACCCTGCTGATGAAGAATGCAAAGTTTATGAAGCCTAGATCATTCCAGTTTTCTTGTCAGGATGAATGTTGTAAAGACCAGTTTTTCACATATGCCTATTTTGTAATGACAGTTGATTATTCATGAACAGAATAATCCTTTGAAATAGCCAATACTATAAATGAGATTGCCTCTAATTCTTATTCTATTGTTTTTAACTCTCAAAATCCAAGATTAAGGAACATATTCCAATTAATTTCTGAGATTAGTTAATCGTTCTACAATTTTTTGTTCCATGTTAATTAAATCTATCAGTTAAACCATACATCAATTTTCCAATGTTAAAAATTACTATGAGGTTGATTGATTGAAGAGATTGACATACCAAGGCAGACTTGGGAAGGAAAACATGGATGTGTCTTCTCCATTTGCCTGCATCCATCGGATAGGATTGTTTCTTCGTTCTCTTTTCTTTTGTTAAGGCTGGTTCATTTACATATTAATTAACAACGAAACAAACTATGAAATTTAAATATCTAACTTTTGTTGTATGCTTAATTTTCAAGCTTAAGAATGTTTTAAAAAGGTAGTAAACTAGTCTTTTTAGTCAAGATTTTAAACTCATACCTACAGAAGATGAAATTCAATTGCTTGAAGCCAATTTCCACTGCATTTTATTTGCCTTCCCCAAGGATGAAGCATTTGGTTGCCAATCTGATCATTGACCTTGTTTCAAACCTCAGCTTCTTCTGAAGCTTGAATCTCGCAATCTATCTTCAATTTTAAAAGAAGTTTTCTCTCCTAGATGAGCTTTTAATGTTAGATGTCATGGACAATGCTAGAGACTACCTGACATGTAACTGATTTTGAAAACGGATGTATCCATTATAGTAAATCAAAATACTACCTAGACATGGGGCATTATGAAACAAGAAAAAGTTGACTTCCAAGTTGTACAGAACTGTGTCTATACATTTATCAAGCTCATTTGTCAAAGTAAACCTTCTTTTCGAAAGCAGAAACTGACAACTAGAGCTACACTACCAGACCGTATTAAGTTGAATTAAAGCTTTTTTTTTTTTTTATAGGAAAAAATCAGAGCAAACTTTGGCAGAGTGTAGGAATTGTACCTGAATGATCCTTGTATAGGCTGCAAAGAAAGAAAATTAACATGAGTAGTGTTACAGTCTCAGAGACAAGGACAATTCCTCTTTATGTATGAATTAAAATAGAGCAAATTTGACCATAAACATAGTAATGGTAATATATTACCCCATCAGGCATCAGTGAAAGCAATTGTGCCCTGCTGGTCTGAGCAACCGGAATGCTTCCTATAGTAAAACCAATAATTACAGTTTGTGTTGCAAAATACATTCATTTCATGAAAGAATCAGAAGCATGAACTATATATCTATCTGCACATATAAATTTCTAAAGGGGAGAATAATTACCAATTGAGTAATTACCAATCGAATTGGACGGCTAGAGATACTAGAGTGGTAAAAGAAACAAGGTCTAATTAATGATTTGAAATGCTACAAGCCTTTGTCTTCTCCATTCCTTCATATTTCTCCCTTTTTTCTACATGATAGAAACAAATTAAAGAATGGCTTTTTCACGATGAAGGTACTGCAATTAAAACACAAGTGATTGTTGCCCCGTTACGCAGGGCTATCGATGATTCAATTGATCATCTTATTTTAAATATAAATAAAATGTTTATACATATTTTTATTTTTTAAAAAAATTTGTAAACTTAAAAGTTAATTACCTTAATAACAACTATGGTAACTATCCTTAAAACAGACATATCAAGAAAAGAATGAAAAGTTAATAATACTAACTACTCCCAATCCCAAATTGAAAAAGCCTAGAAAGAGTAAGAAAAAAAACTTTAGTAATCTCTTCTACAGTCTAGTTTCTATGGTGATGTCCTCCACAATCATAGACAATTATTTGACAACACTATTACCAAATGGATAAGATACATTTTTTTAATTAATAAGAAACTGGAGTGCAGATCTAAGCTTAATTATAACTTTTAGAAATAAATCAAGAACCATACATAATTGGATTATCATGTTAAAATGCTAGAAGTATTATTATAGCATACAAAATGCAAATTCCAACATCACACATGAAATAGAAACCAAAAATCATATTAGTCCCTTAAATACTCATCCTCCTAAACCACTGAACCAAAGGATTTTGGAAAACATAATTTTAAAATATTCTTAAAAGTTTTCTGTAATTATATTTGTGAAGATGGAATCTCCTTCATAATAGTCTAATTTTTCCAAATAAGCTTGATATTACAAACTACCATATCCTTCACCCAGCCATACTTCATATGCCTGAAGGAAAAATTAATTATAAATATTCAAAAAAGGGCGCACGAAGATTAAAATGGCCAAATGCGAAAAAGTTTAAATATTAGTTGTGCTCACTATGCCTACTCACTCACAGCGAATATTAGCTGTGCCCACCATGCCTAGGTTGCTGAAAGAAACTTGTCCTCCACAAAAACTTGCAGATTCTTTAACTTCAAAAGCCAACGGCTTATTCATCAAATTTGAGAAGAAATGCCGACATGATCAGCTCAGAAAGTGAATTTAAGTGATCTTCATTCTCCCCAAAAACTCCCTTTGCTATTTCTTCAGAGAAATATGAAGCATATTAAAGAAGAACCTTTTGACTGATAGTTCTGTCAATCTTCACAAGGTGAAGCTTTGGTCTCTCCCTATCCCAACGTATCATTTGGCTAAACAGCATTTGCCGAAATTCTAGCAAAACTTTTAACCTGTTTAGGAGCCTACAGAAATTGAAAGCAAAAGAAAAAAAAAAAAAAGAGAGAGGTAAAAATACATTAATACATAATGAATGCAAAACAAAAAAAAAAAAATCCAAGGAGCCAACTTGCTGCAAAATTCGAATACAATGGCAAAAAAAATATTCATTAACACTTGATGAACAACAATGGGAAGTCATGCTGAAAAGTGCCAAACATAGAAGCAGTATTTATGTTTCTACTTATTTCAATTTCCTCTTGTAACTAATTGAGGTTCAAATTCAGCAATTGTGGCTCCACAAATTGAAAAGACCAAATTAGATGAATCAAAAGGAAATCAATTTCATACCAGTTCTGAATTGCCAGCATCCAGTAACCTTTTTCATTATAAACTTCTTACTTATATGACTTATATAACTATATATACTTTTAACCTCCTTAGCAGCACCTTTCTAATTCCTAACATCAGCCTAGCAGTTCCATGCATATAAGACATAAAAGTTAAAAACTATGAAATATTAAAAACGTAACTAAGGTTATCAAAGGGTTACAAATTTATAAATAAAAATTTGACCTGAGACAATAGGGATGACTGGTAAAATTGCTTTATAATCATCTATTCTCTTCAGAATTTAATAATCCAAATTCTCAACACTTTAACTAAGGCAATTCAAGTTCATATCACTAAGAAAAGATCAAAAAAATTAAAAATTAAATTAGGTTTTGGTCTCTATATACAAAAAATAAAAACAAAACTTGGTAGCAACATTTAACTCATCTTAGATTTGCTACCAACATCATGAAAAGAGGTGGTTATGCTGCTTGAACAATTGTGCAATCTCACAGATTTTAAATTAAAGTCAAAACAGATTTTTTTTTTCATTTTGATAAAAAGAACTAACAAATTAAGTGTAAATACATTAGAACAACACCAAAACAAATTCCCTTGCCAGAAATTGCACATTATAAAAGCAAGTAATTTAAACTTTTAATTAATAGTTCAAAAAAAGAGAAAGTTCTTCATACAGGCCTTGGGTTTTGATTGCTCTTTCATTTGTTCTTTCTATGAAAATATATGAAAACATCATCAAATAAGATTATGAAGAGAAATCATATCTGGAATTGAATCTGTTAAACGCCAAATCTAATTACCTGCCACTAAGTGCTTTTCCATCATGTTCATGTTGTCTTCGGTTTCCCCTGATTTTTTGCTTAGTAAATTTGATCACAGATTTTCATATGAAAGCTTGTATATAGAATTTATAATGGGAATAGCACAAAGTACCATCTCCTCATACCTATCTCACTGCACACACAGGAAGAATTCATTTAGAAGGGAATCAAATTTACAAACTAAATTAAATTCTTGTTAGCTAAGAACCATAAATCATGTAAAAAAATCCTTATCATGAGATTTAAACATAATCTTAAACCAACTATACTAATTCCTAGCAATAAAACCATTACAACTCACAAGGGCCACATGTGGAACAGTTGGTGTGCATGAGAAAGGCGCCACCTTCATTCCTCTGAATGAGAAGTGAGAACACCCTTGGCTTGGACATCAATGATCCAAATGGAGATGGATGCTTGCTTCAGAACCCGCTCCTCCGAAACGAATGAGATTGCCAATGCCAGTGGGATTCTTCGATTTGGATTTTATAGCAGAAGAATAGTAAAGGCATCCCTTTGTGTAAATTTCCGCTTCTCCATCCTTTTGGTTTGGTATGAGCCTTAAATTAGAGTCACAGACCATGGAATTAATCAAACACAAAATCTTCATTGCCGGTGGCGGAATCTGTGTTATGTAAATCAAAGAAGAAGATGAAAACAATTGAGAACCAACCCAGCAAATTCTGAGCGGAAATAGCTAGCAATTCCTTACCTGTTATTTTCAGAAAGCAAACCAGCAAATCATGCGCACAAAACTAAGCAGGAAATCGTTCGCGGAAGGATTGAGCAATGGTGGGTAGTTTCTTGCAGTTTTTTTATAGCATAAGAACGCAGAACTGCAGCAGCACATACCATCAAAACGTCTTCAATGCTTGTCGTTTTGGGCCAGCTAAGCACATTAGATGAACTCATCGATAATTCCACCGTAAATGGCCGCGAAAGCTCCTTGGGAACTCAAAATTCCAATTGCGACACTCAAAATGTAAAGCAAAGTTGCATTCAGAGAGGGGACATTTAAGAGCCAGCCGATCTTTGCAATGATGGCCACAGTTATGACATTTCGGATAGGGATATTTCTCACTCTGGAAATATATGAGAGGTCGTTTATGAGAATCACATCTATCATTAGAAATGCTACCGCGCTTGATGAATGGGTATTCTCCAAGAACGCAATCGGGATGAGCATCAAAATCGCACTCATCACACCGATAAAACCAGAGCTTTGGATCTCTTCTATCTTCACAGATTTCACACATGTGTTGAAATGGATCACCATCATCATCCTTGTAAGGATCTTCATAAGTGAGTTTTAGAGGGTGATGGTGGAACCTATGTTCAGCTGTGAGGGGTCGTGTCAGGCATCTGTAGTCCAAGGCAAAAAATTTGCAATTCTCCTCTTCCTCTGCTAGCGTGCATTTGTAACCACCATAATTACCCATTTCCTTACCGCAGCCGCTACATGGTCCCTTGTGATCTTCATCACAGAAGAGGAAGTGCTGAGCATGTGCTTCATGCTTAGTGGTGAAATCGATCTCACTACATCTGTGGCAAATTTTCCTCCTATTACCATCAACTCCTTTCCCGATGGAACGAAAACCGCTGCTGTCATACTTACAAAATCGACACTCAAAATGGGACTCCATGATAACTGGAACAGGATCTCGGGAAGCCCAATGTGGTTTGTCCTCTCCAATTTGGGCACATGCCTTGTGAAGGGAGAAATTACACTCTGGTCGTGGACAACTATAAGTGGCAGTCAAGATCGGTGATGCACACCCATCGCAACATTTTTTATCACCATTTGTAACAATCTCCTCATTATCAAGCACTAATTCATGCTCGTGGCTGAAATGCTTTATCTTGTCTCCTAGCACCACAACACAACTGGAAGAAGAAGAAGAAGCCTCATCACTTTCCTCATTTTCTGACTCAACTTCGATATAAAGACGACCTTCATTCTTTTTTACGCAGCTCCCATGAAGAATATAATTACAGTCCGAATGCAAACATTTGTAACTCCCATACTCTGCCACCACCTTTTTAAAACAAAATTGACAGGTCCATTTTTCACCCTCTTTTTGTGGCAACCAATAG